ACTTCCATTCCGGTGTAATTTTTTTTAAAATTTGCTTTCGTTTCTTATCAGTGATTTTATCATCTTTTTCGACTACTATATCTCGATCTCTCTCTACGCTTTCACCCTCTCCCTCTCTTGCTCTGCCTCCCTCTTGATCTGCTCTAGCTGATGTCTCCCTCGATCTGTCTCTACTCTTTCACCGGCCAGCTCTCCTTTTCCCGCCTTTGGCTCCCGTTCTCCCTCTTATGTCGTATAGGATGTTCCTTAATTTCCTTTACCTCTTTCCTTTGCCCTTTGTATTCTTTTTTCACCCCTTCCAAGTAGCCTATGCATTCTGATTTCTCTTTCATCCCTCGGTCCATCTCATGTATTTTTACATGACTATACCCAGTCTCCTTCCGTCTCCTTATATCTCACCATGTTTCACTTTGATGACGTCATCACAGTGACAATTTTGATTGAATGCGACATGTCAGAATTTTCTTAGTTTGCGTGTCATGCCTATTGGAGGTGACTTTTTCTGAAATCTGCATTAGGACATTCTAGTCTTGTTTGAGCAATATCTCGATTATTTTTTCTCGATTTTCTGCAAGCTTCGAATATGTTGTAGCTGAGAAAATTCTCTACACTTAAGGTCACATTTTTTTTCTATAAATCAGATGTTGGGATCATGGCGATATTCCAACGACAAGATGTGAATTGAAAATCCTATTTTTCGTTTACGTGTAATGTCTATGTGGAGTAAGTTGGAATTCTAGACAACACCGACGCAAAGCCCCTGGACACCAGGTCGAGTTGTCCAGGGTGGGGTGCTTCGGGGGACAGCTCGATCAACTTTTTTTCTCCTCATGATTTCATTATCTAAAATCCCTCATCTTAGATAAATTTGTCATTTTATGTATTAAATATGCTTTTATAAACACCCACCCCTAACCTAACCATAACTCTAACCCGGCGATTGTACGCCTTCGGCTCGTCAAAAATATATTCTCGTTGCAAAAAATATCAGCTTTATTCTTTAGAACAGCTCTCAAAATACTCACAATTTCCATGTTCCCTGTCATGACTGCGTTAATTATAAAAGCATTAATACATAAAATGACAATTTTATCTACGATGAGTTATTGCCAGTTATTCACCCATGTATACGCAATGTTTACGTCTCTAGCTCCCACGGACAAAGAATTGTTTACATGTCAATACATTTCTCTTTCTATATATCTATCTACTCACATCTCGCTTAATTCTTTCTCCTCTCTACTGCTTTGTTTCCCTTCCCTTCTCTTGCTCTATTTCTGTATCTCTCTTTCTACTCTTTCACCCTCTCCCTCTCTTGCTCTGCCTCCCTCTTTTTCTCTTGCTCTGTCTCTCGATCCTTTTCTCTACTCTTTCACCCTCCCCATTTTCAGCCTCTGGCTCTCGTTCTCCCTCTTTTATGTCTTTGGATGTTCCTTAATTTTTGTCAATAAAATCTATTCTTCCTATTTAAAGTCATCATCTTATTGAAAGTCATCATGACAACTTTTACCATAAACAAAAATATTCTTTTCAAAAATAATTCCTAGGTACTGAGCTTCCTTCTCACATTCCTAGATAAATACTTATAAAACAGTACGACATACACAAATCACTCAATTACTACATATCTCATGAAAATGTTTGGAACAAACTGTTTCAATTTTTACTGCACATAAATTATCATTTAAGCTTTATCAAGGTAAACCTTTAAAGTCAAACATAACATTCTTCATCTTATCAACCATTACATGATATCAGAAGATCATGACACAACATAGCTCATATCACTAAATACCAATCCTAGTCAATATACATATAGTTGTATATCCAGAAATCTCAGTTCTCAACCTATGGTTTAATCAACCAAGTTTTATAATGTACAATAAATAATATGACATTCTTACTTTTATCAAGTCATGAGACTTAGATACATTACATTTCTCTTGTATTTGAGTTGAAATCTGCACATGCAATTCTAAACGCAATTCTAAATGCAATTACTAAAACGTGTTTCCAATAATCTGATTTTTTGTTTTAAATGATATTATATAGCACCCGTACTTCAGAACGTTAATATCATGAAAAAGGTTGAGCATGGTTATAAGTCTACAAACACCTTTGAATAAAACCTTTGCTAAAAACAATGCCAACATAGCACAACAATATCATGCTGTGGGATAATTAGCATAAAAACAATCCATGTATAAATATGTATGACATATTCTGCACAAAGTTGAAAACCTATAACATGGCTATACGTCAATGTCCATAGAGTTTGTATATAACCTGTTAATACAAAGTAGAGATTATCAAATGTTCACATCATCACCTGAAGACAATGTCTTTGACTCAAAATTAAACAATTATCCAGCATTAAAGAGCACAACCCATTGTGTTCAGCATCATTAAGCCCTCTCTGATATATTTAGATACATAAGGTGGCTGTCTAATTATCATCTCTTTCTGTTTTTTCTGTTCAAAATGTAGTGAGTAATATTCCTGCACTTGCATAAACTACAATGCGTATATATTGCTGTAATATTTTCTTCTTCATATCAAACTTGTGTAGTGGATTTCATGAATTTCTACAAAACATATGCTCAGGATAATAATTTTGTATGTGCTATCATAGAAAGTTTGATGGGTATACATTTGTGGCTGGGAAGATCAATATAAAATAAATCTCAACATTACATAATCCTGGTAAATGCAATATGTATTCAACAAATGACATTAACAAAATATGTTATTAAACCGTGATACACATCCAATAATTTACAATGGTAGACAGACAAAAGAAATCCATGAGTATAGTGCATTTTACATTCTGCTCATATAATCTGCTGTAACATTATACTGAACCTTCACCGATACAAGCCGAAACCTGTAATCTTGGAGCATGCTCCATCTCATGATTCTCTTATTGTCAAACCTCTTCGCTTGAATATAGAAGAATGGTTTGTGGTCTGTGTGTACTTCAATTCAATACAAATAATATTTTAACTTTTTGATTGCTCGTACTATTGCTAAGCACTTTTTTTCTATTGTTGTGTAATTTTCTTCCTGTGGTAATGACTTGTTACTCGCATAAGCAATCAGGAATTCTTCTCCTGAATGTTACTGCATAAGCCCAGCACCCACATTTACCTTCAATATAAACTGATCCTCGGCATCTTCTGCAGAATCTTGACACACCTTCCTACTCTCTATACACAAATCAAAGCAGCCAGCCACTGACAAGTTAACCTTCTGCCTGAGAAATTATTTGTTGAGAAGATTAATGTGATATTTCTTAAGAACACTACTGACAATGTAGTCATAGTCATACTTTACGCCAGCACAGGGAATGGACCCTTCCATTTCAGCAACAACTTGTTCTGATCAGTGGGAAGCAAGATAAACCCTGATCTCCGTTATTAAATTTCCTGTTTCTAGCATTCATATCCTAATACTTCTTGTATTTTCCTGCGGCACCTTTTAAGGCTTCCTGGGCTAACCCCCATGACTTCACCAACTTCTCACGGAGCACTATGTCATATTCATACTCATCTTTCAACTCCGGTATTACACCATCATTTGTCCTCAATTCCCTTAACATATCAAAGACACTCGCCAAGACCCAGTCTTCACTAAACCAAGTTTTCTGAAATGGTAGAAATTTTGAAGATATTCAATACCTACACATGGTGATAAAAAAATGTAATATAAATGAAACATTTCCATTGTCACTGCTAATATTAAATATAATCAGTGTCTCCGTTACCTTTACTACTGCTATCACCTTCACCAGTATTGTTAGTAGGTGAAAAGCATTACCCTTATTCATCTTTCAGATAGATGTTATTACTGATCACTGGTTTTATGCTAATGTTATCGTATTCATTTAATCAACGTCTGAGGAAATTAATTTTTCAAAATATTTTTTGTACAAAGCAAATGAGATATGAGCTCGCATGTGATGTCACACAGTTTGCAATTTGTGCTTCACTGATTACAACTCCAACAATTTATAACTTTCTCATTTGTTTTTGATTTTCCTCAAAATTTCATTGATTTGTTTCTCTCATTTATCTGCTTTTATGAAGACCAACTTATTTTTGGGGTGGACTTCTCCTTTAACACTTTACATGTATATGTAAGCATCTTAAAAAATGCATATTTATAATTATATGGCTAACGTCATTTACTCCTTACTGTACTTGGGGGGGGGGGGGGTGGCGTAAGAGCCCCCCCCCCCCCCCCCCCCCTCCCCCACCCCGCATTTTTGGAGATAGCGCCGCAACCGCTTGGAATTTTACATTGTTGTTCTTCGATTCTTTTCCTCAAGTCTTATGCACATTTTGATACCATTTTCATCGAATTTGGATACACCTGTCAGGTGTTACATAGCAATTAGTATGCGCATATCATCAAAAAGTGCTACAATTGCATATATACATGTACAAGCAGAAATGTGAATACAGGTAAATAGATGTATAAGTGGGAGATATGAATTGATATCAAATTGCTTTGATACGTTTCTCAAAGTAACTTGATGTATTCCAGAACAAAAGAATACATTAGAAATAAAATAATAGATCGAGGACTTAAAACCACAACTGTCTATGTCCAAATATGCCATTTGAGTAAAAATGCATTTAAAAGTTTGATTGCAAGCATAAAATCTGACAAAGTGTAGTAGTTATTTTTAAAAGCCATTAACTTATAAATAATACTTGGTCAAACATCATACATGGAAGCCATGACCTTTTGACCCTGTCAATGTCAGAAACTTAAAAAATGGGAGTGCCAAATACCATCCATGGAACTCTTCAGGAATGGCTAGGCTATTGCACAAGTTGATGAGATCCTTCTTCTTAAGGTTTAGGCTTTTTTAAATGCTTCTCTTGGTAGACAAGGTCCAGATTAGGTGGAACTGATGATCTATCTTCTTGTAGTCATCCAAGTAGTTATAGATGGTAGCAGATGGTGCTTTGCTCTTCCTTCCTGTATTGGAAGCTCTTTACATGTAGCCAGTTGAAGACGTGTCTATCTTCGTCTAGGCGTTTGTTATTCATGATCTGCTGTGAGAGATTTTTCAGATCATAAAAGTCTCCATGGCACATGTTTATGACCTTGTATGGAAGCCGACGTCTTAATTTGTGGAAGATGTTTTACCCAGTCATGCATTGTGAAGACATTGATGTTCTTTTTTCTGTTTCAATAGCAGAATGCATGCTATTGCATTCCACGTGGGAATGCCCACTCTCCAGAAAATTGTGTGCGATGACTTTGAGATGTGTGTTCTGGATGGCATAGAGTAATGTTGCAGCGACATTCACTTTGCAAATCAAAAGAAGCAGAGACAAAAGTCCTCTTTCCAGCAACTACCTTGGCCTGGCATAGCTGCCAACACTTTGGAATTTTCAATTAGTAACATTTAAGTAAAACTGAATATCATGTGCGCGTAGCGCACATCACGAGCTTTCTTTGGAAAATCAGAGTCAAATTCCCTCATGTAGCAGGGTGTTGTTTGGCGAGCCTTAGTAATAAGGACACTTTTTAGAGTTTCGTTGCTCATGGACCCTCTGAAGTCAGTTTTGTTCTTTCGCACCTGACTGAAGACCCTTTCACATTCAGCATTGGTATGGGGTATGGTTAGAATCCCTTTTGCAAGTCTGTCATAGCACAGTTCACCAGAAACATTCTTTTCTGTCATCATACTTGTCCACTGCTTGTCAGTAGATTCCTCATTTTGCACTAAGTCCGGAAGCTGAGCAATTTGATAGATAAGGAACTGGTTCTCCAGAGCATCTAGGGCACTGTGCTTGTCTTCTTCTTCTTCCTGAAGCAACATGCAGGGGAACTTGTTGATGAAAAACTTTAGAGAAGTGAATTTGGCATCCTTCTGATATGCAATGTCAGCCACTTGCACATGGATGAGAACATCAGACTTCAATAGAAACTTACTTACAATGTAGTCACATGCCTTGGTGTAATATGAATGCACTGCTGCATAGAACTTATGGCAATCAGACTCATCTAAAGTGTTCACAATTTCTCTTGTTGCGCTTTTTAAGACCATTTCAGATTCTTCACAAAGATTCTCCTTGTTCTTGTAGTCCAGAAGGGTCAAGTCTGTGGCTGCAATGATTGCTTGTGGAGCTACAAATTGGCTGTACAAGTCACGCAGTAGACTTTCTAGTATTCCTTTTAGCTTTTGTATCAGAGGACTTCTCGTCTGAAAGATGACATTTTTCTTGTGAAATGCAATGATGCTGTGGCTGATATTGGGTTTGAGTGCAATGAATTCAGAATTCTTTCCTGTCTTGTTTTATCTCTTACTGTCTGTCTTGTTTCTTTTTTTCCTCCACATCTTGTTTTTTCATTTCCAGTCATTTTACTAGAAATCATACTGGGATGACTGGAAGTTCCAGTCTTGAGCACTGTTGAGCCTGTTGCCTTGCCAACAACTTTCCCAGTCTTCTGCTTTTTGCTAGGTGTATCCGAAGCTTCCTCATTTGTCGTTTTTCCCGAGTAGTAGAGCTTGAAGATGCAGGTCTACTGTGTTGTGGCTGTGGTGTTTGAAGTTGAACCTGGGAGGTAGAGAAATTATTGATTACCATATGAGAAAGAAACAAGACTACTGACACAGTTTACAATTAAAAAGATACACTACATTTGAAATCTTGGCAGATGACTAGCATTATTGAATACATTTTTATATCTGTAAACTGAACAGCGGAGTGAAGAAGATTGGAAGAGAAAGAGCTTACAAGTAAATGACCTAAAAATAAGAAGAAAAAAAATGATGTAAAGGAACATATTTAACTGTCACCCTGTATATATCGTCCCTATTTTCACGAAGTGACGGTAGTGAGGAAAATCGTCACGCAAACTGTATGCAATTTTATTTCACTACCGTCACTTCGTGAAAACAGCGACGAATTATGATCAATTTTTGTACTCACTTGGGTCTGAGACTGGGCAGGTTTGCTCACATGTGGTGGATCTGCAGACACCTTCTTGGGAATGCAGAATGCTTGGAGTTGTGCAGTCATCTTGGTTTGGTGAGCAGGCTTTTTCTGCAGGACAAGACAAGCTTAAAAAATTAATGTGATGCCTGCAACACTATTGATGACTTATTTATAAGCATGAAATTTAATTACACATTAAATTAAATTTTGCAATTACCATTTTGGTTCATGTAATATCCATTTTCATTTTTAAAAACTATTTTAGAGTGTAAAATGATAATAACTGTTGCCAATTTGAGGAGTAAAAGCTGATTAATTCAAACATTAAGAAAGCTCTCTACTGCTAGGGTTAATCTATTCAAATCTGGTAATTTAATGATGGCCATATTTAAATGGAATAAAAAGGAGTAGATGCCTTGTAGTAATACATTTTCTAGCCTTACCTTCAGTTGAGATCCCTGAGCAGGTTCATTTTTCACAGCTGGAGTTGGCTTCTTTGGAACAAGTGAAGTCTGGACACTATTCTTGGTAGCCTTGGTCTGTTGAGTAGGCTTCTTCTGCTTTGTCTGTTGAGTAGGCGTCTTCTGCTCGGCTGACACTTCTCCTTCAAAAAAGAGGACTAGAGCTTGCCATTGTTGGATAAATCTTGGCAAGCATTGGCCCAAGCTCAGCCATCTCGTACAAGCATGTTTCAGAACTGCCTGCACTTCGTTCCCAATGAGCATCTGGAACTTCTTGAGATTCAATTTCCTGTTCACGCTGGCTTCCAGATAGTAGAACACATCAATAAGGAGCGAGTCAATTGAATATGGTAATGCAGATGACGCATCTTTGGCAGCAGAATCAATTAGATGATTGGGGCAACCAAGCACTGACACTTTCCGAGGCATGCCACAATTTGGTATGGTTTACTGTCGCTGACATTACTCCCATCAGTTGATATTGCAATTGGCCGTGCTTTCATGGCTGAAACGATCTGTCCTTGTTTATCTTTGGCCATTTCACGCACAAGACAAGATGTTTGGTCCTTGCACTGGTAAACTTCATAACCTCCTCAGAATTAGGAAAGGCTTTTTTCAACAATGGTCCCATGTGACTTGCAGCTGATAGAGGAATATTGTGCTCCAAATAAAATGATGTAAATAAGCACTCAGCTCTAGTTATATTAAAATCCTTGGAGGTTGACATCCATGATGTTATTTCTCGTGCTGACGATTCAGACTTGAAAGCAGTGATGTGTTGCTTTGATTTGCAATGAACAACAATGTCATTACAACCGCCATGCAAAATTGACAAATCTCGGCGACATTCCTTGCAAGTTGCATGATGTTTGCTCTTTCCTGATGATGCACCGAAGTCAAATTTATCAGCATATTTCTTGTTGTAAGCATGTCCTCTTTTGCACTCCATCTTATTCACAACGATTTTCTGTCTTACACGATGCAAGGAACTGCTTTGGCATCTTGAGCCTCTGTTTTTTGTACGAGATGGGTTTCCGTGAAATTCTCCTTCTGATCTCCAGACAACTGGTCATACTTCGTACATGTTGCACATTGGTCTTTTTTATTTATCATAACGTTTTTTCCGGGCAATGGTATGGTGTTGCTTGGCCACAATCAGTGAAATAGCTGCATAGGGAATCTTATCTGCTTAATGAGTAGAAAACTGCAAGTATTGCGCAATTCTTGATGAATGTACTTGAAACAGTCTGAACATCAAAGTAAAATGGCTAATGGACACATGGGAATAGACAGTTCTGAATAGACACAAAGTGAAATGAATATACAGTTCTTTGGTGGACATAACTGAATTTCACAAAAAATGGACATAGACAGTTCTGGCTTTAAGCCCTCTAGAAAAAATAAGAAATAAAAAACAATATAATACATATTAAAGAAATAAAATGAAATTTGCATATTCAAAATTTATGCAAATTAACCTTTGCATTTTCAAATATCGACAGCCCCCCCCCCCCCCCCCCCTGCAGTCAGGGGTTGCTCAAAATAGCCCAGGGCCAGTAGAATTTCAGAAATATGTTTGCTCTTTCATTAAAATTTAATGAGAAAATTGTAAAGCACAGTTTTTGTTGGGGTTGCAGGGGTTTACTCGTACATGTTTCTATGCGATTCCGTGTTTGTTTTTTTGGGGGAAAAAAGATGAAAAATTGTATTTTAAGATCGTATTTCACTCTTATTATCATACTAAATATGATTTAATCGTACTGGTTGGCATCTCTGTATAACCCTCCAATTTTCATTAACTCAAACAACTTACATCATAGTGAATAACCTACTCAACTAAAACGCATTATCACTACCAAACAATCATCTTTCAGCGAATAACATTCCAGCATTGCGTCCCGATATTAGTATTCTTTCATTATCATTAACCTTCCCATTTTGATATTCCATATATAATATGATATCAACCTCTTCTTTACTTAAATACTTGCATGTCTCATTGTCACGTTCAAGCTTGATCTCTGATTTGAGTGTCTTCTTCAGAGTGATGGTTTCCACCGTGACGTACCTTGTCTCCTACTCCAACCCAGTCAAAAAATGAGCACTTTGCAAGGTTCATGGAATGTTCCAACTTCAATATACGGATCAGGTCGACAATCCTTAATCTGGGAAGAAAAAGCATGGATGTATGATCTTGTTATCCATCCACCTATCAATCCAGTATTCTAAATGTGCACCATTGTTTTAGATTTCTCAAATATGATCTATAAGTTCGAAATACATGTACATGTCATGATGTGAGTGATGTTTAAAGATACTAAGGTTTGAAAGGCAAGGAGTGACAACACATAAATCCTTTAACTCATCACCTTAAGAAAAGGTTTTTACCAACTTTACAACCTGCTTTCAATGTGATGTCCATGGCAGATGATATCATTGATAAGTGTACGGTAAGCCAACAAAATATTGACAACCCTTTTAAGAAGGAATAATATTCATATTGGTTTTTGCAAGAATGAAGACATGATAAATGAAAATGTTTAATTATCAACAAAATTAAGAATTTACTTGTTTATTCTTCTCATTTTACTACTAATATTAAAAAGCAATCTTAACAGCTTCATGGTAACTATAATATGTAGGGATGACCTCTGTTTCCAATAAATCTAGTCCCTTGCTGTACACATGATCTATCAATGTTCCCTTCTCAGTAGTAGCATTAACAACATGCTGTTTGTAACCTTTATTACACATTAGCTTGTTTACCTGTAAAGAACCTTTAAACAAATCCTCATTAAAATCTCCCATCACAATACACCTAATGCTTGTTTTGTGTAATACATCTAGCAAATTGTCTAATGATTCACAGAATGATTTGATACTATATGATGGAGGTCGATAAACAACTGAAATCACAACAGAAACTGGTTTGGTGACAAGAATTGCAATAAACTCTAAGTTGTCGACAGATATGTCTAATCTACTTGAATATGTATTCTTGATATACATTGCAACACCTCCGTGCGATTGTTCTTTGAGTACATTTCCAACTCCAGAATTACAGTATGACAGATGTCGTGGCTGATGATAAAATCGAAAGTTATCTAAAGCAACGTCACAGAGATCATCATCATTAATCCATGTTTCGGTCAAGCAAATACAATCTACATTCACAAATTGGCACTGGGATTTGAAATCAGTAAAATGCTGTTTTAATCCTTGTACATTTTGCATTACCAAAGAAAAGTTATAATCGTGAATATCTTCGGAAGTTTCATTCTCAATAAACGGCTTCATAATCTCAATGCGTTCTTTAATTTCTGGATTACAATATATACGTTTAGGATCGAAATGTTCTATCACAAGTCCAGATAACGAAGTAACGCGACTAAGCCCAACATATGCCTGTCCAGATTGAAATACATTTTTTAATGATACAACAGCTTTGTCTAATGTCGAACCTTGTACTTTATGAATTGTGCAAGCATAAGCAAGCTTAAGTGGAAATTGTTTTCTCACATATTTCTTACCAATGGATTCTTGAGACATTTCGATTGAATGAATACCAATATCGGCCTTCTCAAAATTAACTTTGATGCAAACTGGATTCAAATTTGTATGATCCGTTATTATTTCTGTTACATTTCCGAAACATCCATTTGTCAGGCCTTTACTAACATCAATGTTTTTGAGCAACATCACTCTAGCATTAACTGCAATCCACAGATAAGGAGGCAACTGGGTTTTCATCTTTGTATAAGGTTTTTCCCGTATTTGATTTCCTTTTTTAACATCTTTGTCCATGTCTTGTGCTTTTACGCATATCATATCTCCACATTTTTTATGCAATAATTTCTTGTTCCAAGCATCTACTTCATTGTTACATGCATAGATATGCAGAGCATTTTCACATTCTTCACCAGTCTCACAGGACTTGAGCATTGCTAGGTCTTCATCACAGAGAATCTCTTCCCCTTGTTTTACACGTAATCTATTTAAGAGAAAAGCAAATTGGGTATCGTCTTTTTGTCTCATAATGTCTTCAAGTTCTACTTTCTTGAAATTAGCATTCCACAATGCACCATTGAGTGTGTCTTTATATAAAGGAGTTCCTAAGACTGGAGGTAACTGATACATGTCTCCCACAGCAATAACTGAAACACCAGCAAAAGCAGTTTGATCTCGTGATTGTTTTATTTGTCGTAGGCGGCCGTGAATGTAAGACATCAACTTTTGATTTACCATTGATACTTCATCTATGATTAAAATTTGCAATTCAGCCAGCTTATTTCGAAGGACACTTATTTTCTCATCACTCAGAGGTTGATACAGTCTTTGTGCATTGATTGGAATAGAAAGAATACTATGTATAGTATGGCCATTGATATTGTATGCAGCTACTCCGGTTGGAGCCATTTTCAATACTGAGACATCATCAGGATGTGGCAACATTCGGGCTAGTATACGTGTTGCTTCATAGTAAAGACATTTGATCAAATGACTCTTTCCAGTACCAGCACCTCCAGTTAGAAACATATGAAACGGTTCGACCGATTTTCCATTTACTCTATCTAAACACCACTGTCGTATTTTGTAAAAAACACTCTGTTGCTTCTCATTCAAAGACCTCATCAAAGAATGTCCATCTTGTTTGGAAATTTTTACTGAACGTAGTTCAATGCTATAGTCATCTTTTTTCGGTTCATTCTTTAAATCTGGGATATCAAGATCTCCATCACAATCTTCGACATCTACATTTTCTTTGGGATGTTCAAGTCGCTCTACTTCCTTTTCCGGACATAAAAGACCCCATGCATCTTCGTGTGGACCAAATTTGTCAAGATGCTCCTGTGCATGATCAATTGCATCGGCATTCATTTCAAACTTCTTTCGGTTAGTACAGACAATTGACCAGACTTTCTCCAATTCACGTCCACATATTTTCACAGAACCTGTCTCGTAGAACTCTTCATGTGTTTCAAATGTTGGGGGCTTTAATTGTCCATCTTCAAAATATGGCAGAAAGAGTTGCAAAATGCTCAAATAATATTTTTCGGGTGAGATGATGGGTGAGAATCGGGGATATCTTACAACTGCATCTCCCGTACGAGTACGCTTCTGAATATATCCCAGATCGTTATCTAATTTAAAGACATTTTTACTTCTTGTACTTGGCGTTTGGGATGCAGTTAAGATTCTATACTGAGAACAAAACGTTGCAAGACACATATCACTGAATTCTGCGTTTTTAGGTCGAGCTTTGTATCTGTCGAGCTTGCTAGGCATCCAAACATTCTCATCATCATCATTATCGTTATCTGGTCTGCTCTTTATAACGCTTAATGGTAAACTCATTCTGACAGGGTCTGGTCCAACAGGAATGAATTCCACTTTCCTAGAAGATTCTTTCAATCTGAGACTGCAAACACGATAGACGCTTTCTTGAGCAGACACTTCACGATTTTGCATGTACACCTGGCCAAGTTTTTTCATGCTTTCCTTTGCGTTCTCATTTCCCTCTTTCATTTCTGATAGTGTATGACTCAATAGCATTCCGATTTCTCGTTCAGCTTTTGACATGTAGGATACAATATAAGCCACGCATGCAAATACATTTGTTACGAACTGCAAATCCATGTTGGCATTCCAGCTTCTTAGTAGACTTGGATTAAACTGATTCACCCATACATCTTGTATTTCTCTTTTGATGATTATACTTTGTTGTGATGCTAATTCATTATGTGCATTCTCAAATTGATTTTGTGTAATGCCAAGCTTTTCAAAGAGATGGTTTACACTGTTGTACTCGATTCCATTGGATAATGCATCTTTAACTGACTTTAACAATTTCTCTGCATCATCTTTAATCTTTTTAGAAGCTTTAATTTGATCATTGTCCTTTCCCTTATTTTGCACTTTCCCACAATCTTTAGCTGGAATCTCTTCAACAGGTGTTACAATGAATGTTTTTTCAGATGGTGGTCTTGGGAAATTAAATCTACACGCTTTTCCCGTTTTTGTGCAAGATTTAGAATGTTTCTTACTGTGTTGTTGGACCTTGCTTACTATTTCATGTAGTTCTCGATCTTCCTTTTCATCCGGTTTCTGGCAAGAAATGTATTTATCTACAAATTGTACGACATCATCATCTTTATCGATACCCAACTGTGGAGCATTTTCAACCCAGAACAAGGCATGAATGTGAGGGGAACCACGGGCTTGATACTCTACTCTCCAAAATGAATCAACTACTTTACCAATCGGTGCAGCGGGAGATAAAATAACTCTCTTCATAAAAGTGTGAAATCTTTTATCAAACATTCTGGCAACTGTTACTGGATTTGATCTTAAAAGATTACATTTTTCTGTATAGTCTAATTCACTCGATTCCCTGGTGTCTCCTTTTTGTCTAAGCAATGTATTCATTAATTCTGGCCATCTCATATCGGCAGATGAGAAAGAAGCAAACCATGTCGGCTTTCCAAGCTGTCGTACCATTGCGAGAACATCTTTTTGTGTCTTTTGCCAGAATGGAGGTGTTCCACGAATTTGCTTTAAAAATTTATAGCCCTTGTCTGATTTTAGTATTTTTTTAACTTTCTCTGCATCTTTCAAATCTGAGGCAGTTATTGAAGACGAATCATCTTTTTTGTTTGGACTTTGCCTTAAAGCGATAGAAACTTGTGATATAACCTGTTGAATTTCATAAATATATTGTGCATAAAAGATGTAATCTGTATTCTGAGCAAATCTATTGTCCACGTGCATCAGTCGGTTATGCAGATAACGTCCTAATGTTATTTTTTCATCTCTTCTATCATGGAATGTTGGTTGACCTTTAGGAAATAACACTGGGAAACATTTGGCCTCATTGCTTTCATCTTGTAGAATTGATACAGGGCTTCTTCCTTCACAAGGAGCACAACATATTATGTCTTCAAAATACTGATCTAATATTTCCTGTCCAATATCTACCGGCTGGAGACATGAGTCTAACTGAATACCGCGTAAGCGTTCTTCCATATCGTCTTCAGTGTTGTTGTCATCTATTTTTTGTTGTAGTTTACTGTTGTCTTGCATGTTTTCATTAGCATTTTTGTCTTTGACAAAATGTAATCAATTTGTTCTTCCATTTCCTTCCAATATTTTGCCAAACGAGCTTTACCACCAATTTCCACTGCTTCTTCTTCTTTTCATTATCTTTTCATTTCGTTCAAGTGAGTTTTCCCATTTATCATTTACTGCAACATCAAAATACCACTTATTATTTGCTTTTAAATACTGCAGAGCATTGAGCAAGTTAGATTTATCTACAAATTTGTACTCATAATAGCTTTTGTACGACAATTTTCGTTTGAGTTTAACACGGATCAATTGATCTTCAGTCTGTGGTCTTGGCAACATATCTACTGTTTCATAAGTGTTTGAAGGCACGCACACGACTGGGCCATGGACTCCATTTTGACCACCTTTAGGCAAGGCCATTAACTTCATGAAAGGGATATTCAATGCAATCAAATGCTGTTCTAAATTGTTCAGATTGGCAAGTTCTTCTGGAACTTCATGTAGTTGTAAATTGTTCATGTTTGCTTCTGCAGGTACTTTTCCAGCTTGCAATTTTCTATGACAGGTAAAGCATATCCAAAGTGTCGATCTGGCTGACTGGCCTATTAAACATTTTGACCGGCATTCTGAATTGCAAACATGCAAATATTCTTCACTTATGCACGTCTGAATTTTATAATTACTCTTTTTACATTTCAATACCTGGTTCTCAAAGAGAAGTTTTAAGCATACACAGCACACATATTCTGGGCCATGAGAAATTATCTTTCTAAATTCTTCGAGTACAATATCAAACTCGGACAATTTTACCGTTCGAAGTACAGACCTTTTTCGATTTTGTTTTATTACATTTTGCCTATATTTTTCAATTCTTTTATATTTCATTTTTAAGCTCATCAATTTCTTTTCCTTAAATTCGTTGCCTTTATATCTAATTTTGGACAATGTTTTCATATTTGCCTTTTTTGTATGTTTAAATTGTTGATCGTTGTGATATAATTTCTTCATTGTTTTTTCATGATATCTTGTTGTTTTTCCTTAAAATTTTCATCGTTCAAATATTTACTTCTTAATTTGCTTTTGTGAATTCGTTTAAATAGTTCATCATGCTGGTATTTACTTCTTATTCTACTCTTGTGCATTCGTTTAAATAGTTCATCATGCTGGTATTTACTTCTTATTCTACTCTTGTGCATTCGTTTAAATAGTTCATCATGCTGGTATTTACTTCTTATTCTACTCTTGTGCATTCGTTTAAATAGTTCATCATGCTGGTATTTACTTCTTATTCTACTCTTGTGCATTCGTTTAAATAGTTCATCATGCTGGTATTTACTTCTTATTCTACTCTTGTGCATTCGTTTAAATAGTTCATCGTTCCAATATTTATTTTTCATTTTAGTCCTCATAGCTGTTTTAACATTTTCTTTAAATCCTTCATTTCTCAAATATTTTTGTTTATTTCTATACAAAATTTTCTTTTTATAACATAAATCAGAATGATATTTGGTTTTCATAATATTTAGCTGTATGTTCCTGAAATTTGAATCCTCTTTATACATTTCTTTTTGCCTTTGTTTCACATAAGCTCCTTGCTTTATTTTGTGTGATAAATTAGTGTTGTAATTCTCTTTTTGTCTTTGTTTTACTTCATTTATTTTTTCCATGTTATAGGTTAAATCATTTTGATATTTATTCTTCGATTTAATTTTCCTCATTTGCGCATTGTGAAGACACTTTTCCTTTTTCTTAATTATTTCATCTTTGGTCAAGGCTCGTTTTTCTCTCATAAGCTGTCTACTGCGCTCCCTTCTTTGATTAGAACTTTGTCTGTGTTTACGTTTTTTCTTTCCATGGTCTACATTTCCAACATGAACTTCTCCAATTATTATTAATTCATCATTACTATCAGCACATTCGCTTGCATCAATTCTTAAGCTGTCGTTCTCATTCATTTTTACCAATTTGGTTTTTCGAACTTCATTACCAAGGTCAACATCGACTTTTGCATCATTTTCAATGTTACTCAATTTTCGTTTTCTGCTTAAGATAGAGTTGGAATTCTGAACTTTGTTCACTAAATTTAATCTATCAGAGTCATTCCCGCATTTAGTACAATTTTTGAAATCTCCATTTTGTTCATTTACATATTCTGTCTTGATAGAGTCATTTCTTTTCAAAAGACAACTTTTATTCAGCGGTGGTTCTTTTAGTTTCGTTAAGGTAATTGTCACACTCTTCAGTTTCAATTCCTGACCGTTATAATGTACATCATGACTGATCGTTTCATTTGCTTTTTCAGGAAGAAAATACATTTGGGTTATCAATCATCTTTTGTGGGGAAACACTCTCATCCAATATTTGAACTTCATCAAAGCTTTCACAATGTATGGAACATCCAGAGCTTCCAGACTGACTTTCACTGTGTGTATTTGACGAAGGAATTGGATTACAAACAAAATCCTGTAACTGTGGATAGCCTTTCAAGGTTTCATTCTTACCGGAAGTTGCTTTAGCACATACACTAGTTACTTCATATTCGGTGTGCAGGGGGCATCCCATTGATTTTGCTAACCTCATGCAATGCTTGTACACACCTTGCCAGCTTTGAGTACGAAGTACAACACTGTGTCCGTTACAAATCAGGAAACCTCGACTGCTTCTGGAATGTGAATCAAATATAAAAAACCATCTTGACCAGATAATACAATGAAAGTACTTCTAGCAAATGTCACAAAACATGCATCAGAATCAGTACAGAGTTCTTTTTCGAGTGCTTGCTTCAATGTCATCGAAAGAGACTGGGCCAATATCAATTCATCTCCATCTAACAATCCAGTGACTGGTTCACGGCATACTATGTTAAACAATTCATTGTACGCATCCAAATATTCAAATAGATCAGATATCAATAAGTATTGGTTGTCGAGTGAAGTGGATCGCCGTATGTAACAATATAATTCATTACCGTTATTCAAAATCCTGTCTAGATCTGTACTTTTCCAATCATTGGCATTTTTTACCTTGCTATACAACAGTGCAGAAAGTGAATTGGTAACACACTGCTTTCCACTTAAGTCACCAAATCTTGTATCACCTTGATTGAATGTCCTTGGGCAACAAGCGTTATTTGTGTATCGACTCTCGTGCATTTGTCTTTGTGATCACTTTCAAGGGTTTCGTCCTTGGTGTTACGTTCGTTGTGAACGACTGATTCAGACTGATTACTTGCACACTGTTCATATGTCATGTCCAAAAGATTTGCAGTACCTTTCCTCTCATCATCGTGATTTATCGTACCAGTCTCCAACGTGAGCCTACGTTTTTTTCCCTTTGGATCAACATGGTTTTGAAATGTTTCAGGAGACTTATCCACTACTTCATCAATTTCTTCCTCTATCTGCGCCTTGGATCTACACTTTTTGAACTCATGCTTTACTTTAACATCAGCCTGAATTGATGGACATGGCAAAGTTCTCTTTGACGTTCTATCTTCTTTAGTTGTTCTTGTCTGTTCCAATGAATTGAAATTGACAAAATCTACAGATTCAACAACATTAAAATGAACATTTCCTGTGTACAGTATATAAATTCCCTTATCAGATGTTACAATATTTATTCTTCCAGGTTTCTTTGCAGAGAACAATTGCCAACATGGTACTTGGTCATTGTATGAATAAATATCAGTATCGATTAAATTTGCTAAAGCGCTAATTTCAGTGTCTGTAGCCCACGTTCCGTCTTCCTTTATTCTACGTTTCAAAACATATTCTCTGACTGTTCTATATTCTTGCCTGAATGTATTACTAAACATGTCCTTGGTTTGCAATAAATGTTTCACAGTGGCATTTCTTAGAATTGCATGATTACGCTCAGTTCCAGAAATTACATAGGAAATTGCACGAAAGAAACAATTGCCATCACCAGTAATTTGTTTACTCTGTAAAGGAACTCCAATACAGCTATTTCTATCTAACCTTGAATCACAGCCTTTGCCTATATATCTGATATTCAGTTTTGAACAAATGTTCCGTTTGTCATTATTCTGGAGGGGTACAAATTTAAAATCTTTATCTGGTCTGTCACGTAATCCAAGATCTGCTACAAATTCAACTTCTGTTTCTGTTTCATCAGTACATGTGTACATATTAGCATCTATTGCCTTTTCAATGTCTTCATCTTTGATATTTGAATCTGAAGAAGATTCTAAAGGATTCCTTGAATGAGCATGATCATTAAATGACATATCAGTATCATTGTCTGTACCATCTTTTACTGTATCAAAGCTTCTATTCTCCAGGTCATTGTCAACACTGCATCTTCTTGTACACCATCTGAAACATCTGAAAAATCATTTTTCATCATATCATCATTTTCCAATACCGATTCACAGACATTGTCTACTGGTTCATTTATGGGCATATCTTTTGGTCTATCACAAACATTCAAAGGCATATTGCGTTCTGGTAAAACACTTCTATCGCATAAATCACATCCAGGACTTGTGTCTGTATCACTATCAGATTCTATACAATTTCTTGCACACGAACGTTTCACTGGTATATGAACATCACTGCCACTATCATCGTCCGTTTCAATTTCCCCATTTTCATCAAAATTTGATTTCAACAGATTATTCTTTGAATCGTCCTGCACAACTCCATCTGAACCTTTGTTGTCTTTCATATTGCAAATATGCTGGTCTGAGTGTGTATCATTTTTACATGTATTTGTATCAAGTCCTTGGTCACCTGCATTCATCGATATCTTTGTATCCTGCTTCTCATTCTTTACTGCTAATTCTATTCCTTCATCTTTGTCAATCTAATCTCCGATTTATCAGAAGAGTGATTTCCATCAGTACCTTTTTTCCCTTTGGAAGACTGACCTTTCTTGTTCCTTGCTCGACCTTTCTTGTTCTTTGCTTCTTTTTTCTTGCCACCAGCATGAACTCTGTACTTTCGCAAATCCTTGATCTGTTCAAAAAGATTACAAGTACATACATCGATATCAACACATGTATCTGTTCTAGATTGAGTTGGCAAATTGCTTGCTATGTCTGCCCAGGATCGTGTTTGTGCTGTTTCACTTTGCACACACATGTCATTATACAACTTCATTGCATGTGGGGACTGCACACTGTAGGCATATAAACCTAAAAGAGTTTCTGTGTAAGATTGAACACTGATATCTTTTTTCTCGGATTTCACCTTCTTTTCTTTACAATCAACTTTCTTTCGGTCTTCCTTTTTTTTCTGCTATGGCTTTCATAGAATGTCTTCATTGCTTTGCCGATGTAAGTTACACCAGGTTCTAAGACTTTGCCATTCACCGATTTTCTTCTGATTTTCCTGTCTGTTTGATGATCATCTATTGATTTGGGATACAATTTTCTTGATTTTAGTTTCTCCACCCATTTCGTCTTCCTTGATTTCACAATTACCCAGTCATCCTCAAATTTTTCATTTTGCATCTCTTCGTGTTCTATTTGGGATGAATTTTCCATAGCCAAAGGATTATGTCTATCAGACTCATTTGTTTTCCTGTCAGTTATATGATGTTGTGTTCCTCTCAATCGATTGGTTTTCTTTCCCTTTTTACCATACCTCTTCTTTGATCTGCCACATTTTCTTTTGTTGGTCGTACTTGATAGGGTCCTTGATTGGTTCAAATCCAAGTAACAGTGTTCATCATGATCACCAAGAAGTTCGTATCTATTGAAATGAGAAGGGATGCATACTTGATCAAACATGCGATGAGCCATGTTGTTATTTCCACAAAATGAACAAATCCAGATCAATGTCAGGTCACTCAGTCTGTCTTCACAAGGGAATCCCATACATGTCACATGAAAATGCTTACTACAACAGTCACATCTTGCATCACTTTCATTTTCTTTGATTTCATTGTTACAGATACAGCATTCATTAAGCTTTGGGTTGGTCACCAATGCACAACTAGTCAGTATATTCATGATTTCATCAAGTGTTTTCTTAAATTCAATTGTATCCATCATGGTAAATTTTGCTTATATACTTGCAACAGTTCTGGTAATAATTACAAGTCTACAATTAACGGTTCTGTAACTTTGATATATAATGTTCTGTATATATTCCTTACTCCAATAGTCTTTTATTTAAATATTCCTATTGTGAATTATGAAAAACTAATCCTTACTGATATTAAACTCTATGGTATTTCAATAGCCTAGCTTTATATACACTAGCTTGTACTGTGTTAAGGAGCTATAATGTTTTTGTCTCAAGATGGCGTTTTTTTTTAAAATTATGAGTAGGTCATTAATAGCCTAAATGTATTGTAGGCCTATATAAGTTCCCAAATTGCTAATTTCTTTGTTACTCTCTCTCTGCAAACAGGTTCACTTTATATCCTGACCAAAATATCTTTCTTATTCTCTCAAATCAATCAACCTCACTTATATTTTTAAACTATATATATATCCTGACCCAATCTTCTTTCTTACTCTCTCTGCAATCAAGCTTACTTTTATTTTAAAATTCTGAACACTATATATCGAAGGATTTCTTTCCTTTTCTCTTTACAATCAACCACGCTCACTTTTCTAGGACTCTATATATTGACACAAATTTTTTGTGATTATGGTCTTATCAAGTTCTAGGAATTAGAATTAAATTGCTTTCTCGCTGTTGTTCTTCTTTTTATTTCAGTTTGCTTTTAATTCCTTTTAGAAACTGCCAATAATTTCTTTCTAATTTACAGTAATTATGTCTTCTAAAATGGCAATACAGTCTTTCAAACTTGCAATATTGCCTTCTTCACACTATTTTGTTCAATCTTCTTTATTCTTTGCTGTGTATACGCTCTTTTTACTTTCCAAGATTACTAATACTACTGTTTTGAATTCTAATAGAGGTCTTATCAAGTTCTAGGAATTAGAATTAGATTGCTTTTTCTCTATTGTTCTTCTTTTTATTTCACTTTGCTTTTAATTCCTTCTAGAAACTGCCAAGATTTGTTTCTAATTGACAGCAATTTTGTCTTCTAAAATCGTAATACAGTCCTTAAAACTTCCAATATTATCTTCAACGACTACTTTCCAATCTACTTTACTCTTTAAAATGTATACCTCTTTTTTTCTTCCCAAGATTTACAATATTACTGCTTTCAACTGTAATTATGGTCTTATCAAGTTCCAGGAATTAGAATTAAATTCCTGTTCCTCTATTATTCTTCTTTTATTATTTCAGTTTACTTTTAATTCCTTCTAGAAACTGCTAATAATTTCTTTGTAATTGACAATAATTATGTCTTCTAAAATGGCAATACAGTCCTTCGAACTTCCAATATTTATCTTGAACGACTACTTTTCCAATCTACTTTACTCTTTAAAATGTATACCTCTTTTTTTCTTTCCCAAGATTTACAATATTACTGCTTTCAACTGTAAGTATGGTCTTATCAAGTTCCAGGAATTAGAGTTAGATTCCTTTCCCTCTACTGTTCTTCTTTTTATTTCAGTTTACTTTTAATTCCTTCTAGAAACTGCAATAATTTCTTTATAATTGACAATAATTATGTCTTCTAAAAATGGCAATACAATCTTTAGAAATATTCTGTTCCAGTTTTGATTCGATTCAAGATTTCCAGATTCAAGTTTCATTCAGTATGTTTCAGATTCAAGGTTCAAGATAGTTCAAGTTCAAGTGCTAGTTCAAGTGTAAGTTCAAGAGCAAGTTCAAGTGCAAGTTCTTTGGAGAGTTCAAGATAGTTCAAAATAGTTCAAGATAGTTCAAAATAGTTCAAGATAGTTCAAGATAGTTCAAGTGCAAGTTCAAGTTCAAGTGCTAGTTCAAGTGCAAGTGCTAGTTCAAGTGTAAGTTCAAGTGCAAGTGTAAGTTCAAGTGCAAGTGTAAGTTCAAGTGCAAGTTTAAGTGCAAGTTCTTTGGAGAGTTCTTTGGAGAGTTCTTTGGAGAGTTCTTTGGACAGTTCTTTGGAGAGTTCTTGGAGAGTTCTTTGGAGAGTTCTTTGGAGAGTTCTTTGGAGAGTTCTTTGGAGTGTACCACCCTCGGTCCTGCAAAAGACAGAAAGGAATAGAAAAAAAAATTAATTAAATTCAATAGACACGTCTGGGCAATTCTTGAGAAATCATCAAGGAGCTCGTAGGATAGAACCTTGTGGTACACCATTTGTTATAGACAAAAAAATTGAGGAATTATTATTATAAACTACATATTGAGATCTATTAAAAGATTACTTTCAAACCAAAATGACAGACAAATTTTAGTTTGTTGTTGTAGTTTCCGAGTGGTGAGTCAACACACTGATTACTGAGCTGGGAGACATTGCCAGCTAGCGCCATAAATCGAAACTAAAAAAAAAAAAAAAAAAAAAATTACTCTTTCGCCGCATAGGCCGCACCCCGACTTTTTGATATTTTCTCTTCCAATAATACTGCGGCCTTTACGCCGGCAAATACGGTAGTCACATTACCCAAAATTAGCCTGCTCGGCGGCCGAGCGGCGAGTTTTTAGCCAATTTTTGCCGGTCACCGCTCGTTTTTAAGGCATCGCTCGGTCGCTGCTGAAGTTTTAGCGCGGAGTTAAAATCGGGCGGCGCCTGCTCACTTTCACTCGCCGCCCAGACTACGCTCGGCGACCGGGTGGTCGCCGCCCGGACGCCGGCCTAATCGAGCGTGCACCGTCGAGCGATTTGGTCAACAATCGAAGCCCCTAGGTCAAAGGCTGTCGAGCAGTCGCCGCCCGGTCGCCGCTGGAAGATTAGTCGGTCACTGGGCGGCGAGTCCAAAATAGGTCGGCAGCCTTTGACCTAGCGCCTTCGATTTTTGACCTAAATTGCTCGGCGGCGAACGCTCGATTAGTTCGGTGCCCGGGCGGCGAACGGCCAGGCACCGAGCGTATTTTGGAGCTCCGCCGATCACTGGCCGGCCGCCGGGCAATTTCTTTAAAATCAGCCGGGGGCTGGTGGGAGACCGCCCGGCAATCGGAGGGTCACCGGTCGGTCACTGCCAGGACACCGCGCAAAAAGCTCCGCGATTTCGCCCAGTTTTTTACCTAAAATCGCTCGGCGACCGGTCGCCGCCCGGACGCCGGCCTAATCGAGCGTGCACCGTCGAGCAATTAAGGTCAAAAATCGAAGCCCCTAGGTCAAGGCTGTCGAGCAGTCGCCGCCCTTTCGCCGCTGGAAGATGAGTCGGTCACTGGGCGGCGAGTCCAAAATAGGTCGGCAGCCTTTGACCTAGCGCCTTCGATTTTGACCTAAATTGCTCGGCGGCGAACGCTCGATTAGTTCGGTGCCCGGGCGGCGAACGGCCAGGCACCCAGCGTATTTTGGAGCTCCGCCGATCACTGGCCGGCCGCCGGGCAATTCTTTAAAATCAGCCGGTGGCTGGTGGAGACCGCCCGGCAATCGGAGGGTCACCGTCGGTCACTGCCGGACATCGCGCGAAAAAGCTCCGCGATTTCGCCCAGTTTTTACCTAAAATCGCTCGGCGACCGGTCGCCGCCCGGACGCCGGCCTAATCGAGCGTTCACCGTCGAGCGATTTAGGTCAAAAATCGAAGCCCCTAGGTCAAAGGCTGTCGAGCAGTCGCCGCCCGGTCGCCGCTGGGAGATCAGTCGGTCACCTGGCGGCGAGTCCAAAATAGGTCGGCAGCCTTTGACCCTAGCGCCTTCGATTTTTGACCTAAATTGCTCGGCGGCGAACGCTCGATTATTTCGGTGCCCGGGCGGCGAACGGCCAGGCACCGAGCGTATTTTGGAGCCCCGCCGATCACTGCCCGGCCGCCAGGCAATTTCTTTAAAATCAGCCGGTGGCTGGTGGGAGACCGCCCGGCAATCGGAGGCATCGCGGTCACTGCTGCCGGGACACCGCGCGAAAAAGCTCCGCGAATTCGCCCAGTTTTTACCTAAAATCGACCGGCCACCGACGACGGGAAATCGACAGGTCACCGCCCAGGCATCGCTGGGGCTCTACAGCCTGCTCGACTTCTCCAACAATCTATCATTTGCACTAGGTGTTTAAAAACAAACAAACTTGTTCTTCTTTATCAACTCCTTACATAATTCAAGGATTCTCTTCAAATTTTGGCAACACCCAATGGAAGAGTATTGAGAATTGTCCACAAATTATGTTACATACCTACGGAAGTGTCATAGAAAATTTCATTAAGCCATAGCTTTCCTATTCCGCGTTCAATTATGTTCCCAATATATGGAGATCTGTTTCATTCCATTGTAGCTTTATTTTAAAAACTACTTGACTTTAGCCTTCTTAAGCAGATCAACTTACTCTCTGCAACTCTCAGCATCTTGAAACAGTCAATAACCTGAAAGAAAAAAAGAAAGAAAAAAAAAAACAATTGCATTTCATAAAATACCATATATTATTTACAAACATAAATACAAATAGTGAGCCCTCATTCAATGCTTAAAGATACTATGTCCCTTTTGCAGCCACAATCAATTCTGTAGAACTTTATAGGAATTATGAATATGTCATGTTATGTCCTATCTGTGAAGTTTAAACGTTTGCAGTGTCCTAATATTCAAATTATGCAAAGAAACCCTTTACTTGCTACATTAGCTTCACTGTCAGACACTATT